TTCTGAGATGCATTTATGATCCTTGGCAATCCATTCTGTAGGCATATCTGGATAACATATTGCTAAATGAAAGTGAGAGAGCAGTAGCCTTCAAAAATGATGCCACTTTAGTCAGTTGTTAGAGGAGCTGAAGAATAAAACAGATTAAAGTAATTATAAAGCATCAAGTCAGGAAAAGAAAAGATGTTCTATTCTGGCCTGTTTGAAAGTTTTGCTTATTAAATCGTGCATATTTTTTTTTTTGATGTCCGAGGTTGCACAGACATGACTTTCAACAGCTTTCACAGGAAAGGGGGAGTTGCTGTTTTGGAGGGCTCCTTGAGCCAGTTATATTGTTAACAACTCATGTAGGTTTTAGGGCCTTTCATTCCCATATGAAAAGTCCACAGGACAGGGCTAAAGCTTTGTGAGCCTGTTCTCATGAAGAACTGGAGAAAGGTAGGATTTGTGCCCTTCCTCCCCTCACTGAACGGGCTACAAAGCTCACCACAATCCTGTCCGAGTACAGGAACATCTGCAGGAAGGCACGTACTTCCATGCTGGCTCTGCGCTCCATCACAGCTGCACTGAAGCATTCTGCCAGGGCTCACCCAGCCAACAGCTCCCTCAAGAAGCACAGGTATTGCTGCAGAAACTCTATGCTTCTGCTTGGGGAAAGGGAGGGGTGAGCCACAGGCAGAGTGGATCTGCAGACCGGGATACACTTAAATCTTTTAATTGTATTTAATGTCTCTAACTAAAATGCATCGAAGTAATAGAGCCTTGAATAAGTGAAAGGGTAGGTTTGTGTTGTAATCATCAAGGAACTGGATAAATATACAGACTGTTAGTTCATAGCATGCTTCATGCTGCTACTAGCTTTCTCCCAACCAAGTACTCAGCTTGCTCATTCACAGCTAGTTCAGGTAACCTGTCCAGACTGCAGTGTAGACCATGCCCTTGCATAACGTGCCACATCTACTTCAACAGCACCATTCTTAGGAGCAATCTTTATTTGGACAAGGAAGGTCTGCTGGATTAGAGCTTTAATCTGTTGTGCACTCTGATGTGCACAATTTGTCTTCTCTATGTTACTGTCTTTCACATGAATTGTCTGCAAGGTACTTCAATTGGCATGGCATCAGATAAACTTGGATCACCCCAAATGTACGAAGTATTTCAACCAAAACACGTCCAACCATTTAAATTTTCCATATACACGTAATCAGTGTGTTTGATTTTTCATTGCTTTGCCCATATATAGCTATGTGACAGGAGTGCAAAGTGGGCATAAATCATACCAATACCATTTCATACCCACTTCAACCAGGTGTACATGACTGCACAAGGAGCAGGGCAATGGTATCCTGTAATTAAGGCTAAAATTAATTAAGGTGGATTTTCAATTGCCCTGCATTTTTACTGTAGAACAAAATGAGTGTAAAATGTGATTTAATCAGAATGGTATTGATTAGCAGGAGCTTTGCCTTACCTTGCACCGAGTCAGAGGATTACACAGGGCACAGGATAACTGGGAATCTGGCCTCTTAGGCTGGTAATATACAATGAATGCTAAATTCACACACACAAAACACAGCCTGATCTTCTGCAGTTCTTTTCCACTGAACTGATCTGAATCCCTGAAGAGATTAAAAGCAGCAGAACAACTTCAAAGAGCATGTGTGAAAAATAACAATCTAGTAACATCTTTATAGGCTTAACCTTTCATTTGACTTCCTCACAGGGGGGCAAGTGAGACTAACTACACACAAGAAATGCAATGAGAGGCTCTAAGCATTATTGTGAATATGTGACTTGGGGACATGCTGGCCAGATGCTACATATTTCTACTTCAGAACATTAATTTTCATGCAAAAATACAAAATGGAAATGAAGTATAGAAAAAATGTATTGTAATTGGACAATACCATAGTTAGGGCTAATGTAATTAGATGCTCTCGTTTACATTAGATCTCTATGTGCCTTTGCACTGACAGATGTGCATCTCCCTGCTGTAACTCATGGCGCTTTCTGTAACAGCAACCCCCTCTGACCCAACAGATGTTTGCTGTTTGGGGGGACAGGGAAACTGAGCTCCACTTCCGAGCCAATCCAGGGCAGCAAGGCTGCATGTGTGTAGCCTCTCTTCCCCAGCCCCATCTCCCACCTAGCTGCTGGGCTGTTTGCAGGATGGGAGAGGGCATGGGGTGGGGGGAAGCTCCAGTCTGGGGTTTGCCCTGAAGGGGCAGGTGGAGGTGGTTTGAAGCCCCCTGGAAGATGTTCTAGTAAGTGTTGAAGGGATTATACTGCTTCCTCTGGAGATGGAGGAAATAGCAAATGATACCTGAATGTCCTTATATTGTGGGTTTTCTTCTTCCTTAGAAACTGTCCAGCTGCTGAGCATCCTAAGGAGATGCCTAAGACTGCACTGCTCTTCTGAACGGCTCCATCTCTCTGTGGTGGTGCAAAAGTGGTATGCCCACAGACCCCCATGGGTTCCAGCAGGACCATGCGTAAACATTATAGATTTGACAGAATGGTCTGCTAAGTATAGGGAAATGTTGTTTGGCCCATTTTACAGATAAGGAAACAACATTGTGGTACTTCTGCGAGGTAAGCATATTCATTGAGGTTAGCAAAATATGCTGATATCTTTGTTTGCAAAGTTGAATTCAAGTGCAAAGAATGACTTTTTCTATCAAATCTTACCCCATCAAGTACGACAGCATTCCAGATGTACAAAATACACTCCTATTGGCCATTTCTGACCCATACCACCAGAACACCATGTGGTATTCTTTGAAGTCTAGCTCTCTCATGAGCAGTCTAGTGTACTTTAACCTATTTAAAATCACTCTTGGTGAAATGGGATGCCATATTATACAGGTGCACTCACATTTGCATTTTGCAGATAAGCAGAATGTTGTAAGTAGGTGGTATACAACTATCTTAAATGGTTTTTTGCTCATGAATGATACATAATTTCAATTTAAAAATGACTCAGAATTTTCAACAAAACATACATATCATATGAGTCATTGGCACCATCCCTCTGAAAGATTTCTATAATAATGGAAATTTGTCTGACTTACATAGTTCAGAGAGTTTTGATTATGGCTGTTCTAAACAGTCCTCTTTATTCCCACATTGTGCCTTAAATGAGCAGCAGCTGCTACTAGCTATTTGAGTTAGTTGTGTCAATTCTCGATATATACAATTCACTCATGTGCTGGGAGCAAACAACCCTCTAGACAATAGAAAATTCCATGACTTTAATGTTTTGTAAAACGCAGCATGATAAGACAATTAGGAGCCAGATTGTTAATTTCTGCTTGCTGTTACCATAAATGTGCTTGTGAAATTGGGCAGAAGCTAATCACATGTACTGCATGTGCGATCACTCACTAGGCATGAATAATCACAGGAATGGCACAATGAAATTAGGCACTTGATTGTATAACTTGTCAGAAAGTCAAACGTTTTGTCTATGTTTAGGTAATAATCATTGAACCCTTCCAAAAATCAGATCTTCTGAATATAATTCTACCACTTTGTATAAAAATGCCCACATTATTTAGTGTTGTGTGCCAACATCATGCTTAGTTGGAAATGTGCCACTAGTCAAGCTGCATGCTTGAAGAGCTACATAAAAATATGTGATTGTAAGAGCACAGCTGGCTACATACCATAAGCTAAACACTAAAAGTCTCCCTGAGACCAGCTCTCTCTTACTTACTGTTTATTAACAGGACTTCTAAAAAAAATAAAGTGGTACTGATGAGATAGCTATTACCATTCCATATTGTGATAGTCCAGGTGTTAATTTACAGTATTCTTTTTCTAATTATCCTTTCAACCACTTTGGGAGGTCAGGCATTAGTGCAGCAGTAGGCAACCCCCAGCATGGGTGCCAGAGCGTGGCTTAAAGGCATTTTGTTTTGCACACGTGCCTTGGGGCTGGGCTGTGCTGCCACAAGGATTGAGCCCCTTGCAGCTTCCCCGCCATCTGCTCCTGGGCTCTCTCACCAACATCTTGCAAGTTGAGGTTGTGGGTGTTTTTGGCACTCTGCCCAAAAACATTTTTCAACCCCTGTTTTAATGGATTGTAATTTTCCAGATGTTAACCCAGCGCCTTTAAAACCCCCCCCCAAAACTGCAATATTTGCTCCTCTCAAACTGTCTTTCACCTTTAAAATGTTTGGTTTCTAACTCCTCAGTCTGGTAACTTGTAGCTTTTTAATTTACCTGCTAATTTATTTGTCCAGAACTACTACTACTGTTGACAGCTGAGTATCTGACAGACCCTTATCTTTACTGCTGGAGATCTTTACACTTGCTTCGTCTACAGATCAGAGACTCCCACTAGGTATCAAAATAAACATTAGAAGTTGCATCACTTTTTTTTCCCTTTTTCCTGTAAAAAAAAAAAAAAAGAGCCACTGTGCCCTAAGCATCCTCAGTGGGATGCAGACCTCATTCCTTGATTGTATAAAATGTTCAACAAAACAGAAACAATTCCAGGCCTTGTTTTTGGGGAATTCGCTTGGAACCTTGCCTTTACAGTTTGGATGATATTTCTAAGTGCAAGAAGCAAAAAGACTTTGCTTAGGACCTGATGATTAAATATGCCTTGCATACTTAGTGCAGTGTTATGACAACTCCACATTTTGTAAGCAGCTGAATAGTTACTTCAGTTTTTAGATGAAATGTGTTGCAGTTTTATTTATAAGGGTATTAATGCTTGATTAAACATAGGTCCTATGTCACTAGTTGTCCAAATAAGTCCTTCAGCCTGGTGCACGGGGAAAATGTTAGCATTTTTCAGACTGAAAGGCTAAGGCTAGCCAGAACCATATACTTGTGGCCCAATGTGCACACTTCTGTACACACACACAGATACATGGCTATATTTATGTAAAACCAATCTTCTATATAATAAAGTGGGAGTTGGTTAGAAGATTTAATATCCCAGTACCAAATTGCTGCCCTGCCTCCCAGCTTCTCCTTACAGATTGCTTGTTTTCTGTATACAAGTTTTTACTGCATTGAATACTGAAGCTGAAAAAACATGTTTCAAAAGTGTCAGATGATATAAATATTTTATCTTGATTAAAATGCAGTACATTCATAAATAAATTTGCACTGTATGACCTTCTGTTTTCCAGCATCTCTCTATGCTTACTTCTTATGTTTGTAAGTCTCACCTGAAAAAGAAGAACAAATGAACTAGAGTGGACATTTCACTCTTGGCTTGTGGTACTGGTTCTGGGACTCACTGGTCTCAGATTTCTAGTCCTGGAGGTCTGTGCCAAGTTATCAGATGGTTCCACGTTACCCAAACTGAGGCTACTGCACTCATTTGCACTTTTGACACCCACATGATTTCATCTAACCTGTGAAAAATCTCTTGCAACAGCCAGTACTTCCTTACAAAGTTATTATGCTTCAAGTTCAATCATTAAAGGAATTTATGTTTACAGATACAGATGAAGAAGCTCTATGCTGACTAAACAGGTGAGGAAAAGGTCAAAACATGTCATTGCTGCATGTTTTCACTGCTGGTGGCGTTCTGCCCCTTTCCCCGCTTTATAAACTAGTAACCATGAAAAAACTTGCGTTACTTACCCCATAACAACTTTGTTAGCTTCTCCCCAAGGAAGTAGAAGCCTACCATTTCTAAGTAGCAAGTGAAAAAAAGCAGTGCCTTTCCAGCTCTGCCTAGCACTTCTAAAATTGGGTATACCCAAATCCCTGAGGTGTGATTTACCCATATTATCCTAAAATAAACAAAACAGAATTAAAAACATAACTAGATATAAACAGAACACATTTTTCTTACAATTACAAAGCTACTTTTATTTCTAAAGATATGAGGAAAATCTCAAGTTTAATTCTGCACTTAAAAAGGAAGAGCATTAGGCAAATTAGTTCTTTTCAAACAAACATTTTTAAAAACTATTACAAATCTGCAGATAATAAAAAGTGTTACTTGGATTTGTTTTTGGTTATGGTAATTGTTAGGATTATTTTTATTCTTAGCATTATTGTAGCACCTAAGGGTCCTATTTATGGTCCAGGACTCCGTTAGTGGAATGGAAGAAGACTAGTGCTTGCGGAGTGTTTTGAGATCTTTGACGGAAGTCTCATGAGAGTTGTATCATCTTTTATTAACAGTAATAATTATTTCAAATTATCCAGCAGCCACAGATAACATGTTTAGAAAATGGGAGTTTATTATAGAATTTTTTTAAGGAGATTTATCTTTTTTACATACAGGTAAAGATAACTGATTATGGCTACCAAGGCAATATGCAAAGTGACAAACAATGTTGGAAACGAGAGATAAGTGGATGCAGAAGCACATTATCCTTGATCAACGTTTGCATGAAACATTGATGGGTAAAATTAATGGAAGCATTCACATGACATTACCCAGAACTGTGTGGCTAGTGCCAAAGTTTTGACCTTTCCCTGTCTCCTGCAATGCCAGCTGAATCTCCTACATTTTCAGAAGTTTACCTAGAACAAATTCCTGAAAACGGTGACAGCAACTGTCATGTTCTCTCACAGGTAACCAACTGAACCCTCTAAATGCTACAGTGGCACCAACTGCATGAATTCACTGCTAATGTTAAAAAATGGAGCCTATTTAAATAGGTCATTATAGATTCTGCTGCTGTGATCCCTTCACTGTATGTATTATGAGTAGCAGTTGCATAAACTTATACTTTTTCACTTGAATGAGTTTAGACACGTAATAAGCCATGCCAGTTACAACAGGTGCCACACAGTGAATTTTACAGTATGACCAAGTATGTTTGCTTGTGGTTTTCTTTTCACATGTATCAACACTTAAGAGTGCATACTGCCTTGTCATGTAAACAATGCAATGTTCTGAAATAACAACTACTACACTGGAAATCATTGCCATTTAATAGAAGATGTAATGCCCCATTTTGTTTTTGTTGTTTTTTTTAATACAGATGCCTCACTTGCCTGCCATGAGACTTACACATGTGAAAGAGAAGATCCAAGCACCAGAGGAATAGAGACATTATGGTGGGGAGAAGATACTACATGGGTATCAGTTTGCAGACATCCAGGTACTCTGGTTGACTGGAGAGCAGATTTCTAGAGACAAGACTGTGACTCAGTCACATGGAAGCATGTGACTGAGGAAAAGCTAGAGGAAGAATCCAACTAGCGTGGGAGGGAGAGCTAAATACTAGATCTGCCATATTTGAGAATGCAGAGGACAAACAAAAGATGGGTGGACAAGAAAAGGCATCTAGTGTTGTAAGAAGAGAGGAAGGAACAAAGGACACCGGAGTGTGAGGAGTAATAAGAACAATAAGCAGAAGATGAGAGAGAGAAGGAAGGCTGATCTGTAGAGAGAACTGAAAGAAAATGCCAAGAAAAGTAGCTCTGTGACCTGGGGACTCTGGATAGGGAAACCATTAATAAATAAAGAAAAAAAACAACCAAGTCCTATGAAGAGAGTAAATCCAGAGAACTGGGAGGTGTGATATCTGCCGAGCGCAAGGATATGAGATATGGATTGGTCTGAAAAGCATTCTGATGGTAATGCAGAAAAACCCATTGATTTTGATGCCACCAAATTCCTGCTGGAGCAGATCACAGATGATTACATCAAACTAGGGCATGCTTAGGTTCAGGTGGAAGAAAGAAGACAAAACAGTCCAAGGACGAATGACTGGAACGTTCTGGATGTTCACTCACTTGGAGGCATTCAAGTTATGAGGACTCTTCTCAACACATGGCCTCCTCCTACATCCCTGGGGCACCTCCACGATCCAGGCTGATACATGAAAACAATAGATTTAAGCTAAAAACAGAAAAAGAAAGTTGGAAAGTGTGACACAGCCTCTCCCCCCCCCAGTTTTAATATACAGCTATACAAAAATCAGGTAACTGGGAATACATGAAGGACTGGCAGAGCATAGGACAGATAGACAGCAAGGAGCAACAAAGTACTAAGTTTGCGGGGACAGAGTTTGGCAGGCAGACTTGGACAAAGGACTGTGTCTGATGCAACTAGGACAGTGGTTCCCAACCTTTTTAGACAGCGGGCAGGCAGACTGTGGACTGGAAGTGACCGGCTTGCTGCGGATCAGCAGCCAACCCTTCACGGCCTGGTATTGGGCTACAGCCTAGGGGTTGGGAACCTCTGGACTAGGAGACATGAGTGTGGTAAACGAGAAGCAACTGAAGCGTTTATACACTAATGTGAGGAGCCTAGGCAACAGGAGGGAGAAACTCAAGCTGTTAGTGCAATGTGAATGCTGGATAGCAAAAGGGATAACAAACGCATTGTTTTTATAAATTGCATGGCTGAGAGAACTGATTACCCACCTACAGTAAGACCAAATGAGTTTAAAAATAAACAGTTACAGAAATGTTACAAGTGTTTGTCTATTTTCTTAGATGTAAAAATAACCCCCCCACCAACACTTCAAAATACTGCAATTTACAGGCCTTATAAAACAATGTAGTATCACAAAAGGCTCATTCACCAAGCTGCCAAAGGGTCTTACTGGTGCAGTTAATTAAACATTGCTACTGAGGCAAAGAATGAATTTTTCCAGTTTTTAGCTCTGCACTCTCTGTACATCATCCCTGAGTGAGTCCTTATTTCCATCACAGCCATGATGCCAAAAAGAACTGAAAGTCCCACAAGCAGGAGAATGCTACAAAGTGTCTACACAAAAAAGTCCGTCCTTCTGTATATCCCCATGTTATTCAAACAGAGGTTTGGGAATTGACCTTCCCTGTTCTGTCAGGTACGCAGCAGCGGAAGCAGTACTGGCAAGGAAACGCAGGAGAGCTTGTAGGCCTCTATGCAGGCCATTACTGTAGAAAGAATACTCTGATAGAAAGTAATGAATCCTGCTGAATATGGCATTATAGTTATTGTTTAGTTCTCAGCTTTTTCATGTTGCAAAAATTCAGGCAATAACACATGAAATAAATATATGGAGTGTTATGTTAAGGTGTATTATCAAATGCTGTAATTATACTGCAGCAGTCCCTGAGAAAACATTTTTCTATCTTCAGTCTAAGTATTCCAATGATATCTTTTGACTGTGATTTTTCTACTCTAATATCTGTTCTTTAAATATTAGACTACTGCGGTGCATTCCACCTGGAGCTACATCCTTAAGCAACTAGAAACTGAAGCAAAAGCAGAATGTTGCAGCCAACAAAGATATAGTACTCTAGGATCAGAATGAGCTGCCTCTTGCTTTCCAGAGAAAATTTAGAGCAGTGTTGACTATGAGCTTTAATATCTAAACTGGTTTGGGATCTATGTCTTTAAGAGGCCACTTCTCTGGCTTTATTACCATATTTAGTGCAGAAGTTTGAGTAGAGGTCTCCTTAAGGAAAGAGGGAGCTGGTGGCAGGACATTTTTTCAGGGGACCTCACCTTTAGAATGCAGTCCTTTAAACCAAAGCAACTCAACTGTTAATATTCAGAGCAAATCCACAAGGTCTATCAATTTACCTAGGCTTCTGGGCAACACAGGCTATTCTGAAAGTTCATGCTGGAGGGTGTAAATATTTGGATTGAAGATCCCTGATTAGTCATTTTCCAAACTTGTGACATTTTGACTAGATACGGTTCAGGTGTGTGCCTCTATTTTCAAATGGACCTGAACTTTTAAATAACATGGAAAAAAAAATCCCTTAAGATCACCGGTTTGTCTATAGCGCATGCCATTACCACGTGAAAAATTAGTGTTTTAGTTCACTGTTCATGAAATGAACTATGGGAAATTTAGAGGAAATTTTAAAGAACTTTTTGCCCAGGGCTTACACAAATTCGAGGGAAATCTGTACAATTTTAAAATCAAATGTACTCAAAACAAATGAAAAGACCCAGATGCCATCTTAATATATTCATCCCTTATAACTAATAAATAGGCTTAAAATAGGCTTTTAAAATTTTATTGGCTTTCCTGCACTGTAATCTTTTCACTAGTCTGCCATCTTTCACTGTCCCACTGAACTCAACCACTCTCTCCTGCATACTGTTTATCCTTCTGTGACCTTACACTGAAAAAACACACATTTCATGAAACATTTCATTTTATATACTCAGACGCTGCAACCTTAATTTTGTGAAATATCTTTTGAATGATTCCTACCACACCGAATAAACAATGTATTTAGATCAGGGGTGGGCAAAATGCAGCCTGCCAGGACACTGCATCTGGCCCACAGGGCCCCTAAAAAATTTAGAAAATTAATATTAATCTGCCCCTGGCTGCCTGTCATGCGCCCCTCGATGGCTTGACAAAACTCAGTAAGCAGCCCTCTGCTCAAAATAATTGCCCGCCCCCGATTTAGATGTTTTGCTAAAAAAAGGCAATCAAACAATGGATAAATTGAATAGTTCAAACTGTCTCTGATGTGGAAGTGAGCAGATAGAGCACTCTTCAAAAGGCCAAATAATAAGAGTCAGTACAAGGTGTGCCAAAAGAGTGCCCTGCAGCAGCTCCCTCTCAAGAATCAAGCAGGCGTTTGGAGCTGAGGGTGGACATAAACCAAAGGTGCGGGCAGCAGAACCCACTTGTAACTAAAGAAATACAAAGGCAGCAAGCGTTTTTATCTTTGTCTATTTGTATATTATATTGCAGTACAAAGACTCAGAATAAGAGTTCAGAGTTAAAAAAGACGCAATAAATGTAACAAGTCATATAGAGGGTAACAGACTCATTTTTTTCTTTGCGCTTTTTAAAAAACAATACAGCTAATGTAAAGGGTTGAAGGAGTAACAGAGCAAAAAGAATAAGGAATTATTTTGGAATTTAAACTATATTTCTGAAAAATAATGACTACCTACCAAGTGAGGTATGAAGAACCAAAGATGCTGAGTCCTATTATTCCCTTCAATTTATGTGGATACTTATGTGGACAGCTAACCAGTTCTATAAGTAGTAGTGGCAATATCGTGGTATGCTGAAAATTAAATCCAAATACAACAGTTTGATCTAGAAATAGCAAATTAAAACAACAGATATCCTATAAAATTATGCGAGTGTGAGACAGCACAGATACACAGTTGGTGAAAACTTGAAAAGAGCAAAAAATATTTCACTAGTTAGAGAAGACTTTGAAATACTTATTTGTGACATATTCCACGCTTCATCAATATACTCTACTTTGTAAAAGGTGTAGCCAACTAACTCTCCAGAAATCAAAGGCAACATAAAGATGAAATAAAAAGCAAATGGATTTTTTCAGCAAAGTTAAGATGCCCACTGTTGATTCTGGGTAACAGTGACTGGATCCACACTTGCTAAGGTCCATGGCACAAGATGGACAATATTCAGTGAACAAGACAGCATTCAGATATGGAACTAAGGCACAAAAAGCCTTGTCTCCATAACTTTTTCCATTATTACATTCATGAATCTCCATAAGTTATAGTGATGATAGTTACAGAATATTCACATGGCCAGCAGTTTCTCATGATCCTTGCGTCTACAAGTAATACAGTCCTGAATACAACATAAAAGAAAATATTTATCCACTAACTTACCAAGTTACTTTTTCACGTTTAAGCATAACAGTACTACACATATATACCTAAGGATAAACCCAATGATCCTAAGAGAAAATAATTAATATACTTACCATGGTATGATTAAGCCAAGATGGATTAACCTCATCCAACTCTTTTGGGTATACAAGTTCTCTGTCATATGCATAGAGGGTCCAAAATGTTATGGCTACAAACTAAAAAAACAATTCCATGTAAATCAAGAGTACTGTATTGTTTTGACTTTATATCTACCCTTTCCCCTCTGAGAAAGGCACAAAACCCACATTTAACTTTTATGCAGAGCCAGCCAACCTATAATCAGGCCTCTGTGATCTTGACTTCTGCATTCAGAAGGTATTTGTGCATGCAATAAAAATACCAACAATTTTTTTCAGTGCAGTTTTTATTTTAGTACTTTTACTACATTAAGCCATTTGGGTCCTTTTCTTGGCTACTTGATTCTCCTGTGGGAGTCTGTAAGGGCAACAGCAGTTCAAGAATTTCATCAGAGAAAAAGCATTTTTCTTCCTAAAACTAAACCTGAAAATGTGGGGTCAACCGACAGACAGGGCCAGATGAACATGGAAAACCACTGACATAGATAATTATTAGCACCCAATGTTTTATATTTTTCAAAATGGTCTATTTGGAGGTAGACTATTTTAAAAAGAAAAAGTGGGCATTAGAACTATACTTTTTAAAAATCAGATTCAGAGGACATCATCATTTCACTGGAGAACTAGTGAATAATCTTCAAATCTTCATCAAGCTGGCTCCCACTAAGGTCAATAGGAATTTTGTGCATGGTATAATTGAGTGCAGGATGGAGGTGGGCAATTTGGGCTTTGTTTTGATTAGCATTTATGAGAGTGAAAGACATGAACATGAAACAATAAAGAAAAATTAAGTTACTTGCTGGTGTGAACTCAGAGCACAGAAGGTCTGTTTGGGATATAAAAATACAGTGCAATTAAATAACAGTTTAAAACATAAGCCCAAAGACTGGCAGATGAGACAAGTACAGAAGCTACAGCAGCATGTTATCCCAAGCTTCATTAAATATATAAGCTCTTTGTAAACTGTATTTTCTAAAATGTAGGTATTTCTCCAAATCTTCATTTTCTACAAGATGCAAGAAAATAGCAGGCCTTGTGGACAAAGGAAATTCAGTTAAGTAAAAACCCACTGCATGGGCATTATTTTGCAGCTATCAGATACAAAATGAAATAATCCAGGGAACAGGAACTAGATCCCAGGTGCCATCCCATGTGTATCCAGCTACCCTAACAATGAGGTAACAGAGTTGCACTCCTTTGTTTGCCCCCTTTCTGGCCCAATGGTTCCTGCACTCTTAGCCTCATGCTGGCCGAGCTTCAAGAGGCAGGTGCCCACCCCACAGTCTGTAGGACATTAAGGCATCTCCTAGGAAACTGCAGCCACGGGTTTAAACCCCTGCATGCTGGGAAGGGCCTAGATCCCTAGCCCCTACCCACCTTGGAGAATGTGTCTGCAAGTTGGATATACAAGGTGGATAGCACCAGCAACACTACTGGTTTTAATCCAAGTGGCCACAGTCACCCTGCTTGTCCATGCCTTGACGACTGGATCATGTCTCTGGAGGCTTAGGCAGAGTTGAGATGCTGCTCCTGCTCATGTCGGGACTGTTTGATGACCAGGGTGCTTCAGTATATACACAGAAGCCTAAGTTTTGATATCCAGGGCAGTCAGAGATGTGGGGCGGAAAATTTTCCAGTTCTTAATTTTTCCGTGGGAAATTTTCTATTTCTAAAACTTCATTGTTTCATAAAATTCATTAGTAACAATGAATGGATGCCAATTCAACATTAGGCAAGCTTGGCAGTTTCAAAGTTGTAATTAATGTTTCTCAGGTGATTATCCCTAGGAAGTGTGTGAGAGAGTATATACATGTTTTATTGATTTGTAAACAGGAGGATAAATACACTCACATAATAATCCAAACCAAAAATCAAGTTATGAATTCACCTAATCGGCTGTGCAGGTCAAAACAAAACCAAAGCATGGCATATCATGCACAGTTCTCTGGGTGTGCTAAATTAGCGTGTCAACAGTTTTCAGTGCCCTCGTTTTTTTCTTAAATGTAAATAAACAATGTAAGGGAAGTACTTGCTATTGTGTATTGTCTTTACATTTTTACAAGTACTCCAATAAAAATAATTTATTTCCGCATAAAGCTTTGAATTTGTTTGAATATAACATTTAAACCACGTAAAGTGTGCTGTATTTTTTTCCTAATCAACTATTTCAGTTCAAATACTTGTGGCTATTCAGACATAAAATTAACATGGGCTACTTTTTTAGCTGTGTTTACTAAATATAAGTCAAATAAACATGCTAAAGCAGATCACGCTCTATTTAGGGCATTGAGAAATTTCCCAGAAACTTTTCCAATTCAAAATTTTCCAGAAAACCCACATCTTTGAGGGAAGTTTCACAACAAGAACTTAGATGAGGCAAAATGGGCAGCAGTTTCCTGGATCTTTAAGTTTAGATGCAAACTTCCACCTGAGGCTCCTGTCTGGATCTAACCCCTCAAATACATCAAGGCCCAATGTACCAAAGACCCCATGAAGCTCAGGGACGACTGGCAGTTACCAGCCACTTTCTGCAACGCCCAAAGAGCAAAGGGGCAGCAGCGCTTGCGATGGGGCCAGCCAGACCCCTCTCCTGGGGTCTGACCCAGCAAAGTGGTGCCGCAGGCATCGTGGCCTTCACCAGGGCCACTTTTGCTGGCTGGTTCTTCCCCAAGTTACTGGAGCGGGCCCCAGCTGGGCCGAGCAACTACCTACCAGGCCAATGGGAAAGACCAGCACGGAGAAGATGAAATCCTTCAGGGGCAGTAGCCAGGAGATGCTTCTCTGCCGGGTCAGCAGGAACATGCGCACTCCATCGATAAGCGTACACAGCCCAAACAGCACCATCTGCAGGATCTGCGGGACACGCGCATCACAGCCCACTCCTCTCCCCTCCTCTCCCATGGCTAGGGAACACTGGGCAGCCCCGGCCCAGAGCAGTCAACAGCAGTGCCCCACCCCCACCTCTACCTCCTGCCCACTGGGTCCTAGGTCACAGCCCCGC